GGTGTGTGACTGGCTCAAAGGGACTCTGAGGCTGAATGAAGCAGAAAGCTCCAAAGCCCTGGGACCTAGTTTCTCACTGTCCTCTGGGCTGGGACGTCCCTATTTGGAGGGAATTTATGCATCTCTGTCAGATGCACGCATGGTCTGTGAGAGGTTTCCCCAGGTTTCGCTGTCATCAAAAGAGCCAAGAGAATTACCGGCTTGAAATAATCATAATAGCTACCACTTACTGAGTGCTCATGTGCGGGGACTGGCTAAGAGCTTTATGTAATTGCCTGTCTTAATCCTCATATGAGCTGGTAGGAGAACAGAGGTAGGTAAGTCCTGTGAAGTACGTGCAATTATAATCCCCAATTCACACAAGATCCTGACTTGCTTAGAGGGTTTGATGATTTGCTGAGGGCTACAGTTTCTAAGTAGTAGAGCTGGAATTGGAGCCCAGCAAAGGCTGCCACCTTAGCCATCAGGCTCTAAGACCTGCCACAGAACTCAGAGGCACTTTTGAGGTTGCTGAGACTAACTGAGGCCAGAGAGGGGCAGGGGCCTGTTTCAAGGTCCAGAAGCAGAAGCAGGACAAGAATGGAAGTGACCCGACTCCTTGTCTAGTGCTCTTTCAACATACTGTCGAGCTTTTGAGCAATTTATGCTGCAGGGATTCCTAAAACTGTCCGAGAGGAAAAATTAATGAAAGTTCTATTCCTAAAACACTTTCTCAACTCAATATGCAAATAGCCATTATTACTTGGAGAGCTTGGCTTCAACCCTGCCCACCATCCTGCATTTTTCAGGCTGTCGATGACCTCATCTCCATCTTCATGAGTTCATCTTTGTTGAGGGACAGTAGTGTGCTCTGCCAGCGAACCTTCCACCCTTAGCTTATCGTGCTATCCCCAATAGAAAGTCTCTTTGGGGCTCCAGAGACCAAGCCCAGAGCTATGGTTATAAAACAGGTCACTGCTTCTGCACTGCTTTGTTGCTATGAACGTGCAAACTGCTAAGAGGAGCCAACGTTTATTGGGGATTTACTATGTGCCTGGTTCTCTATATAACTTGTCTTATTTAGTCTTCACAGCTGCCCTTTGGAGGAAGTTCTGCTTTTAACCCCATTTTACAGATGAGGAAAATAAAGCCCAGAGAGACAATGAGACTTGTCCCAAAACACGGCCAGGAAACGGCAGAGTTAGGACTTGAGCCTCTGGTATGATTTGTGTGACTTAAGATTCTGCGCTTTGCCTCAGGACTCTTAACTACATTTATGGGAAAGTTATCCCAGATTGTGGGGGAAAACTTAAGGAGCCATTTTCTTGCCCATGACTCACCTTGTTCATTGGACACGGGTCCAAAGCTCACCTGTACCCCCAAATAAGGACAAGCTGATGTGCCTGACAATTGTCTGCCTCAAGGCCTGAAGATGATCTAACTGAACTGCCAAACCCATGCTCCAATCCCTCAATTAAATGACCTTTTGTTTTCTGCAGACATTTTTTAAGCTCTTTGTATGAAGCAGTTACTGGGGATGGCAACGATATTCCTGCCTTCCCTCAGTGCATAATCTAGTGTGGAACACACAAAGACACAAGTAATTGTAGTAGTGTGAGGTGAGCACAATGGAGCAAGTACAGAGTACTCAGAGGCACACGGCAGGGGCATTGAACCCGGCCTGGCCTATGGGGTGCCATCAGGGGAGGCTTCCTAGAGGAGGTGGTGAGGTTGAATTCCATTCCTAGAGAATGACTAGGTGTGTGTTAGGCAAAGCAGGGGGTGGAAGAATGTTATAGGCAAAAACCTGAGGTGAAAGAGAGAAGGTGGGAGCTCCTTTCAAGACAGACCATTCCGTCTTTCCTATAGCTTTGCATACTTCTAAATCGCCGATGGTCATACCTCTAGGAACTAAAGCTGTTTGGCTCCAGAGACAATGCCCTGAACCTCCACTCCATGTACCCTTTCTTTTTTCCGGACGTTGTGTCTGGATGTGATGGCTGGAATTGTTGTCTCTGTCTTGGCCCCATGAGGGGAGCCAGCCCCAGGGCAGTGCTGATTCCCTGAGGATGCACAGTGGAGAGATGTAAAGAGCTTGAGTCCTTGATGACATCGTGCTTTTCTGAATCAGCCAGCCCTGGAAGTGGGCTCACCTCAGCTACTCTTAAATGAAATACTGTAGTGTTTGACAGCCTAAGGTTGAATCCAAGCCTTGCCACTCACTGGCCATGCAACTTTGGGTGAAGTAACTTTCCTGAGTCTTGGCTCCCTCATCTATAAAATCAGGATAATAATAATAATTGATAATCATTGCACTTACCCAGTGAGTGAGGTGGTGAGGATTACATGTGCTAATGCATGTCACGAGCTTACAGTAACGCCTGGCCTTAGGAAGTGCAAACAGATGGAAGCTATCAGTATTGCCAACACACGTTTTCATAGTCAGCTCACACTCCCAGCCCTTTCAAAGCTCTCAATGAATAAAAGGGAGACTTGGGCTAATCACAGTGCAGGTGGATCAGGGCTGTGACAGAGCCCAGAGCAGGAAGCCGTTAATGTCTGCAGGAGGGAGCAGGTGAAGCTCCACAGAGGCCAAGGGTTCTAGAAAGCGCTCAAAACATGAACAGAAATTTGAGGGTAAAGAGATGGAGGAAAGGCATTCCTGGTGGTGGGAGCAGCCTGAGCAAACATGTTTTAAGGGCTTTGTAAAGGGCAAGTAGCTGGTGTGGCTGGAATTCAGGTGTGGATGCTTGTGTGGGAGGAAGGCAACAAGGCTGGAAGCCTGGGTTGGGGCTAGATGTGGAAGGCCTGGGTTCCAGACTGAGGGGCTTGCTGTACGCCTCGAAGGGGTTCCATGGAACCATAGTGCTGAGGAATGCCGCTTAACATATGGACTCCACGGTGGCGAAGTCAGGGATGGAAATGCTGTGTACTTTGCAGTCCCACCAATGACCAATTTACGTTAGCATAATAAGGGCACTGACAAGTCCTGCAGCAACAAAACCTGTTTCACTTGGTTTAACCCAGTGCTTTACAAACTTATTCAACCACAAGGAACCCTTCATTCACGCAACATCCCTTACTGTGGGTCACACTTTGCGGGGGTGCAGTTCTAGTCACTGGGCAGCTGTCAAAAGGTTTGAAGCACTGGGGTGAGGTCTCAGTTCTGTGTTTTCCAGAGAGTCCTTCTAATTATGTAAACAATAAGCAGTCGAATGAAGTCACAAGAAAGCTGTCTCAAAGGTTTGACTCGCTCAGCTGAGGCTCTTTTACTTTCAGTGGGTGACTTCTCTTGGCTGTGTCCCTCTGAAAGTCTTCTTTCTACCTTTCAAGTATCCGAAGCAGAGAACTTCCTGCTAAGTACCTAGTTTTTCTTCTGACCTTCTTGCTGTGGCTCTTTAAAGCTGAAGGTTAGATAATTCAGGCTCAGCACTGGGATTGACACTTGAAAGGTACAATGGGGCTTTTTAACCTTTGGGGTTAAAGGTTATAGTCATGGGAGCTACAATTTGACTTGAAAACATTTTTGAAGTTTTTTCTTTTTGTTCCCCTCCCCTCCACTCCCCTCCCCTTCTCTCCCCTCCCCTGTACTCCCCTCACTTTCCCCCTCCCCTCCCTTTCCCTGCCCCCTCCTTCTGTTCCTTACAGAAGAGGTCCAGTTGAAAATGATGCTTTCTGAATTGGAAAATCCTGCTGAAGGCAGAACATATGATAAGCATTCCCCTTTGGAAGGTTTTGGCAAAGGCTGGGATTTCTCAATCTCCCCGAAGTGGGAGGAGGCTGGGACCGCTGAAAAAGTACCGTATTTCCCCATGTAGAAGATGCTCCCATGTATAAGAAGCACCTTAATTTTGGGGCCCGAAATTTGAAAAAAAATGTGTTACATAAAGTTATTGAACTCAAGTTTTATTCATCATAAAATTCATACAACTCCTCATCACTGTCAAAACTCCCAACCATTAGCTTGTCCTCATCTGTGTCTGATGACGAATCACTGTCTTCTTATATTGACTCTCATGGCCTTCTTCTGCAGTGGTGTTTTCAGTAGGGTTTATTCTTCCCATAGCCAGTCAGATTGTTTTCTCAGTTGGAGGAGGACCAAACTTACGTTCAGCAGCATGATTTCCATTCATTTTTGCAAACTGGATCACTTTTAACTTGAATTCAGCACTGTACGAAAATCTTTTCTGAGCCATTTTTGGGCAGAACATGGCAAAGCGTAACCTACCGTTATATCCCGGTAACAAGTGCGAAACAATGAGCGCGAAGACAACAAGCGCGAAAAAGCGGGAAATGCAAGTAAAAAAAAAAACTACAACCACTGTATAAGATGCACCCAGTTTTTAGACCCCAAATTTTTTGAAAAAGGGTGCATCTTATACATGGGGAAATACGGTAGGTTCCAGGGAATCAGCTTTTTGGGTGATTTGGATGCACCGTAAAGTTTGAAAACTACAGGACTGGGAGCGTTCAGATTTTAAAAATCCAACTTACACGGAGACTCTATAGGTGGAAACACTTCTTTCTCCATCTCCCGTCAGTGCTCTCCATCTCTGCCCATCCCCCAACCTGAGTGCTCCCCTCTAGGATTGGGGGCAGGCCCTATCCCAGTCCACACAGACTCGTAGCTGGTGTTTTTGCTGCTGGGATGCTGAGGAATGGGGCCCAGGTGCAGGAGCAAGGACTTGGGGGTGATGGAGGTGGCGGTGAGCACTCTCAGGGATTAATGCCACAGGTGCTGTCCGGCCCCATAGTGATGTGCCTGGTCCCACTCTGTGGGTGTCTGACTCCCATAGGGCTCCTGCTGTAGGGAAAGCTGCTCTGTTTGGTGTCTCAGGGGCTCTTCCTCCCTTCTGGCTTTGTTCCTCTCCCCTTCTTCTTTTTTTTAACCTCTCCATCACTGCAACATTGCCTTTGTCCTCCACACTGTGACAGATCAGCTCCTGGGCTAAGTCACTGGTGGCCATATTGGTAGTAACAAATCCTTGTAACTATTATTCTCCTTCCCCTTCTGCTCTTAGAGGGAATATCCCATCTCCTACCACACCAGGATCCCCACTTAGGAGGCTTTATCTTGCTCCTTATCCTGGAGAACCATGCAGTGGGGAGAAGACCTCCAGGCTGGGCTTATTACCGAAGAGGTGAGTAATATCTTTCCCACTGGGAGTTTTTGGTGCCCTAG